CTGGAGCAACCCAGCAGCACCCCAGCTGCTCTGCCCCAGGCGTCCCCAAGTCAGCTTCTGCTGAAACTGACCAGCGCTGACTACAGGAAGCCCCAGGCAGAGTTGCTCTGCCCCGGGCTTCCTGGAATCAGCTGCTGATCAGTTTCAGCAGCAGCTGACTTGGGGACGCCTGGGGTTCTTAAGTTGATTCTGTATGTAAGTCAGAACTGGCGGTCAGTTTCAGCAGTGTCTGAATCTGGACGCCAGTTCCGACTTACATACAGATTCAACTTAAGAACAAACCTACAGTCCCTATCTTGTAGTTGCTCTGCCCCGGGCTTCCTGGAATCAGCTGCTGATCAGTTTCAGCAGCAGCTGACTTGGGGACGCCTGGGGTTCTTAAGTTGATTCTGTATGTAAGTCAGAACTGGCGGTCAGTTTCAGCAGTGTCTGAATCTGGACGCCAGTTCCGACTTACATACAGATTCAACTTAAGAACAAACCTACAGTCCCTATCTTGTACGTAACCCGGGGACTGCCTGTATATCTTATACTGGAGCTTGTTTAGACTCCAGTCAGACCTAAGAGTTGGCAGAAAAGTGTCCTCAAGCCAATTTACTCCCCTCGCCCTTTGTTAAGATTTCAGGTTCCATATGCCAAAGAATGAACTCTTTCTGCAGGAAAAAAAAAAAACAGTGAAGGGGAAAGTCCTAAAAACAGCATCTAATTATTGGTTTTAAATAGTTTTAATAAATAAATTTCACTATGTCTTTCCTCTTTCTCATCCAAATGCTCCTTTCAGAACAAACACAAAAGGATCGCATTCGGGGCTGATAAATTGCCGTTCTTTTGTTTACCTATCTAAAAAGAGGCATTAGCATTACATGCAGAATAAGAGAGACATAACTGTGCATGGTGTAGCTTGTCAGCTGTTATGGTGATATAATAAAGGTTTTGAATGTCGTTTGGAAAATCGTGCTAAAAAATTATTACTGAATTTTGTGGTGAAGAAAAGTTTGGTATTGGCTGGTTTGGAAATTTACCATCCTACACATCTCCATAAAGCAGATAGAATTTTCTGCAACTACACCGCAACTCAGGTCTCAGAGGGAGAATGTTATCCATTCTCCGTGTCTATTCTGTGTTGGTCTTTGTGTTGAGACTGCCAATAGGAGTACCAGTTGTCATTTGGGCACTTGTTCATGAGGAAGAAAATAGAGAGCACCATTTCACTTCACAGTAGGCACCAACCAATCATGAGAGCAATGGCTGAACAGTGAGTAGAAGTGAAAGGCCCAGCATACCTCTGCCAGTGTTCAAAGTCTGGCAGAGTCATTCAGGGTGTGTCTAGACTACATGCCTCCGTTGACAGAGGCATGTAGATTAGACAGATCGGCAGAGGGAAATGAAGCCGCGATTTAAATAACCGCGGCTTCATTTAAATTTAAATGGCTGCCCTGCTCTGCCGATCAGCTGTTTGTCGGCAGATCGGGGCAGTCTGGACACGCCGCTGTTGACAAGGAAGCCTTTGTCGATCGGCGCAGGTAAACCTGGTTTCACAAGGCATACCTGCGCCAGTCGACAAAGGCTTCCTTGTTGACCGCGGCGCGTCCAGACCGCCCTGATCTGCCGACAAACAGATCAAAAATCTGCTGTTTGTCGGCAGAGCGGGGCAGCCTTTTAAATTTAAATGAAGTGGCGATTATTTAAATCGCCGCTTCATTTCCCTTTTTCGAACAAATAAATCTACATGCCTCCGTCGATGGAGGCATGTAGTCTAGACACACCCAAGGAGTAAGGGAGGTTAGAATGGTGACACTTCAAGTGCAAGTGTTTGGAGCCTCTCCCATTAAAATCAGTGAAAGACTCCCTCTGAATTCATTCGTGGGCCTCTGGACTGACCTCTTAGTAAATTAATTTTGCATTCATGTCAGTGACATAAAACTGAATTATAGATGTGTTCTTTTAATGTGGAATTTGTTCAATAAGCACAAACGTGTTTTTTAAAGGTAAGCTTATTTTCAAATGCAGTATTTGTTAGGTAACCGTCACATAAGCCAGCACAAAATAGTCCAGCATAGCCATTAAATGCTAGTGTATGTAACTGGTCATTCATATAGTTTCTTCCTCTGTCCACTCTTTTACAGGACCAGCTGTCAGATACAGTGAATTCAGTGCATCAAAGCCCAAGCCTCCTCCTCTTGTTGGACAGCACACAGTGGAGGTACTGAAGGATGCATTGGGGTATGAGGACAGTGCCATTGAGGAAGTGCTCAGGACTGGTGCAGCTGTTCAACATGAAGTCAAGTGAAGAGCTTTTAACTTTAGGCTGTCATGCTGAATTCACGTTACTTGTTTTCCTCTTGGATCTCTTCAGGTCTCCCAAGGAAATTCAAAGGAGGAGACTAATTTAATTCTTAATAATCTTCCTTGCATTTGAAATTAATCTAACACTGACATACCAACTAAAGCAATGCAGTATTTACTGCATGAAAACAATGTTTAGGGGATAAGTGTTCTGATTACAGAATCCTGTGTGGCTAATCATTTCTTATATTTTTGTCTGGGGAGTGTAATTCTTATCTTAATCATGTTAATTGCCCAAATGTTTGTCCCCTGGAAGACAGAGTCTTTGAAGAGAAGCAGATCCTTGAAACACTTGCGGGCTGTGATCTCCATTTGCACATAAGTGACTTTTTCAAACAGTTTAGTATGAAATCAGAGTTGTGAGCAAATTGATGGCCGCCGTGATTGATTTTAAACAGAATTCTGAGCACATGAGCACTTTGTTAATCTCTAATTTAAACCATCGTTGAAGTGCCTATTGTAAAACTGACTTCTATTCCCATGTTTAGTTGTGTAAATATTTGCTTTACATTACATTGGATTGCTATGGCAATCCTGGAGTGTGTAGCAAAAATAAACCTTCACTGTTGCATTTTTTCCAGTTACGTAAAGAGCATTTTCCAAGCACAGTTGAGAGTCAAAACATGAATGAATGATACTGGTCTTTTGTGATTTTATTCGGAAAAGGCTCTTGTTATTTTTCACTGGACATGGATCCAAACCAGAGCCACGCAACTGAACACCATGTGCCAAAGTTTGGAGTTTGGGTATGGCTCTGCGTGCTCAGGACTGGTACATATCTCTTTAATTTCTCCTACCTCAATTCCATTTTACTAGAGAGAAAATTCAGATCTTAATCCAAATTTTTGGCTTGGGCTGTGATTTTAAAAGGACCAGATTCTACCAGCCTTGGTCAAATTCAGTGCAGTAGATCTACCCATGAAGTAACTATTAAGAGTGATAGACACTGGCCCATAATGAATACCAACCAAGAGATTTAAATTAACACCATTTCTTCTATGCAAACTAATCTGGCAGCTCTTCAGCCACAGAAGAAATGCGGTGCCTCAATATCCAATATAATTTACAGCTAAAGTAAACTCTGCATGAGGAGGTTCTAAACTTTGTTATGTGTATCAGTGCAGCGAGGCAAGATCCTTTTATTCCTAGAACTAAATAAAACTAACTCAAACTGACATTCAGCAAACAATGTCCATATTTTTCCCGATGTATCGGAAACAGGCCTGGCATTATAACTAGCCTGCCACTTTGTTTCCACTTTAAGAAACAACATCCCCTTAGTACATTTGAATTTCACAACTGTATATTACTTTCTGGGAACAACAAAAAAAAGTTATTACGTAACCAAGTTGAAATGCAAGCATATTGCAGTGGCTCCTTTTTGAAGCTTTGTGTTTTTTGTTTATTTGCTTGCTTGTTTTTGGTGTTTTGTTGTATTCACTCTTTTCAGATAGTCTCCTAGTATTTTTTTCTTATTTTGCATTCCTGGCACCACACCTAACACTCTGCTCATGTGCTAAAGTCATATGGAGATTCTGGACTAGTGACCTGCTAAATAAATAAATATAGAAATAGGTGTTCACTGAGAACCAAAAGAACAGAATAGACCATATGGAAAGAACTAGGATTTGGGAGAAGGGCTGCTAGGCATTACCCTATAATCCACCTTTCATCCAAGAGGATCAGATGGTCTACAGAGAAAAATAGTGATTTGAAGTGAGATTCAGATTATAGTGGGTAATCTAGTGCTAAATTAATTTTTGTTTATTACTGCAAACTATTTTACATTATCAAATCATGTTCATAAATAAATGTGTTGTTTCTACTTATGGAGGCCCATTCTTTTTTCATTTTCAAAGCACAGAATACATAAATAAGATACCATAAAATAACACTTGATTTAATTCAAGGTTTTCTAAAGGATCTTTTTCAGGAGTGTACCAAGCTATGGGAAGAATTAAGAGTTAGATCTTTAGAGTAAATTGGTGTAGTTCCACTGACATTAGCAGAATTCTTTTCCTCTCCAATATTTTGACATTCAGATACCTGAGGCATGATTTTGTCATACTTGCAGTAGTCACTGCAACAAGGACAGTGCTAATCCTGTTACTTCTGCTTATTGTGAGGAAGTCACAGGAAGTTCTGTAAATAAATAGACTGCAACTAACTGTCTGCATGCTGGAACACTAGAAACCTCGATGTTGCTAACAGTTTTAAGTAGTTGGAAGTGCAGGAGCCTAGAAAGCTCCCATAAATCCTCAGAGGTCTGCTCCTATAATCCTTGTGCTCACACTTGCAAGATCTGGCTCCTAGACTTTCTGTTGTTTAAAGTTCCATCAGACAATTGCCTTGGTAATACCCAAGCATACAAATATTGTTTATGAAAACATGCTGCACTCTTCCCAGCAATCCTCAAATATATACAGCTCTGAGTAGAAATAAATGGATATATAGTTTTAAACAATTCTCCATTGTCCTGCAAAAATAGGAATCAGTCATTACATGGGAATTGAGGGTTAATAAAACTAGATCCCTGCAATTTTGAACATAGGTAGTCATGACTGTACGCAGCCACTTACAACCAGGCTGTTTGTGGTTTTATTTCCCTCCACTTACATTGGAAATGAATCTGCTGCTACGATGGATTGTGTGTGTGCATATATGCGGTAGTTGTTTTAAGTTGATTAGCTTTCTGCCTGATTGTTTTGCAGAAAAGCTGGCAGACTCTACCTAGTTTTGAGTCCAAAACTTAGTCCAAATACAGCAAGTCACTACTGTGCAGAGTTGTTGACTCGAGTCCCATGACTTGAACTCGAGTCCTACTTAAGTTGCCTAGGTGACTCGACTTGTGACTCGACTCGGGTTCATTGTTTGTGACTTAAGACTCGACTTGAGACTTGCTAATTTTGTTAAATCGACTTGGTGAAAAAATTGTCCAAAAATGCCAATATTGATGGCTTGTACAAAAGCGACTTGACATTTTTAAAATTAAGACTTGAGACTCAACTTGGGACTTGACAATGACGACTTGAAGACAACACTGCTACTGTGAGCTGACTGCTGTTAATTTAAGCACGGCAGTAGGAGTTTTACCTAAGTATGACATTCAGGACTGCACTACTTGTGAGTACTGTGATCAGGAACGCCAAATGTAACCCAGTGATCATCACTTCATGTGTGAGTTATGTGCTAAATTTTCCTCCTTAAAAGGCTCTTGTGATTATTTGCTTTATAGAGAGAGGAGAGAGTGTAAGACAGGGCTATTTGCAACTCATAAAAGGGAGATAGCGTCATGCATCATGGGAAATGTCCTATCCAAAGAGAAATGGGAGCATGAGACACCCAAACTACAAGTCACATGAGGCATATGCACCAACATTTCTGAACTGAAGTTTTCAGCTGAAAATTTTCTGTTTCAGGTTTGCTTATTTATTTATTTTGCTGAAAAGTAAATAAAAAATATTACCCAGTGGAAGTAAAGGCCATTGTCTGATTATCTGTGCTGGTGACATGCAATAGTTCTAGAAGGACTTTCTAAAGATGCTAACAAACTGGGGGCACAGCCTAGATGGCTTGGGGGTGGATTCAAGACATTCTTGGAGATGGAACTTTCAGCGTTTCTCCTTTGGCCCAACATAAATTAGGTTTGAGATCATTCAGGGCATGTTACCAAGCCTGTCAATTTACTGGACTGTCAATTGATGTGCGTTAACGCCTGTGATTAACACAGGGCAGGATTAACGCATTAATTTTTTAATGCGTTGATTGCAGGCGTTAATGCTGCACTGCCCCTTTGTAATGCTGACGCAGCGCTTCAAAGGGACAGTGCTGCATGGAGCCAGGGTCAGCTGGGGATTCTAGCTGATCCCAGGCTCCTGCGATGCTGCCCCTTTTAAACGCCGCCGCTGCCCTACAGTTTACACAGGCTTTTCTTGAGGTTGGTGGATTCTTTTCTTAAAAGGGCTAAAAGGGTTTTGGGAATCTTTTTTGCTTTGTTTAAAAGTATTTTAAAGAAGTTTGTTAATGTAGCTGACTCAAAATCAGTATTTTGCATATGGACATTGTAAAGCTGCTTTTAAAAATATCTTCTAGGACGGGGGTGAGCAATAATTTTTTGCTAGGTAGTGCCAGAAGGGCAGGGCCAGGATCCTGCCTGGGCTTCCCCAACCACAGCATTGGTCCAGGGTTGAGGAACCTCTTTGCCCCACCCCCAGGTTCCGCCTAGGCACTCATGCCCCTGGCAGTGGGAGGAGACTTCCCGTGCTCCCCTACCCCCAGGCCAATAACGTGCTGTGTGCTCCTCACGGTGCGGGGGCAGGACTGAGGAAACTTCATGCGCTCCCCCATTCCCAGGCCAATTAAGTCTCCTCCCGCCCTGCCAGGAGCATGCAGCAACTACTTTGTTGAGTTATAGATTTTTCAATGTCAGTGGGGAAACATGCCTTTTCAGATATAGTTCCTAAATTTTAAAAATAAAACAAGTCCTAATAAATGCCATATAAATATTTTGTGGAGGCAATGAACTCTACTTGTCATAATAATATAAATACAAGAAGATTCTGCTAATAAATATATTCTGGGAATGGGGAGGAAGTCTATTATTAAGAGCAGCATACCAGATTCTGAAGTGTGTGCAGAACCCCCAGGTCATGTCTACACTATCGGGTTATTTCAAAATAATAACTCCTGAAATAACTATTTCGAAATAAACTTATTTCTCTTCACAAGCAGGAGTTATTATTTCGAAATAACAAGCCCCTTATTTCAAAATAATAGGCTTGGTAGTGTGGATGCTCGCCTTGTTATTTTGAAATAACTCCCCAGTGTAGACATGCCCCCATGGTGCTAAGCATTCAGAAATCCTGAGACAAGCCTAAAATAATCATGACTAGCTTAAAAATAGGAGATATTTATGAAATAATACATTTTTGAGATGTTTTTCTTTGCCTTTCAGTTTCAGAAACCTTTAGGGTAAAGGCAGTCCCCGGGTTACGTACAAGATAGGGACTGTAGGTTTGTTCTTAAGTTGAATTTGTATGTAAGTTGGAACTGGTACATATTGTAGGGGAAACTCTAGCCAAACATTTCTCCAGAGCTCAGTTTTATTCTCCCACACGTCACTTCCCTCAGTCCTTTATTCTCAAGCTGAGGTGTCTGCTGAGAAAAGCCGCTCCGCGTCTCCCTGGTCTGCTGGAGGGAAGCAGCTAGTGCGGGGTTGCCTCACCCCGTTTGTAAGTAGGGATCCAATGTAAGTCGGATCCATGTAACCCGGGGACTGCCTGTATACTTAGATCACATTTTCCAGTTTTTCTCCACAAGCACAAGAAATATAGATGGATTGTGTGATTTTGTTATTGTTTTCTAAATGAAAGTGATAATTCTCATGTGATGACTTGATCCCAGGAACTGGGGATTTAAGAAAAACACCAAATATTCTGATATTTGTGTTAAAATTGGGGAGCTGACTTGATGGGAATTGGGAGATGGGGAGGTTGGGGAAAGAATGGAAGGGAAATCTGGTGGTGGTTAGTTAGCAGTGTTCAATAAAGTTGTATTGCATTATATTACTGCTTGGGTAGTGATGTTGGTGGATAAATATTGGAGTCAGGTTATTTTATTAGATGTAATTTTTAAGAGATCTTCAGGAGTGCCCAGAGCTTGGGATGGCTGCTCTTTTGTGTTGTGTACTATACAGTTGAATGCATTAGGTGTAAAAGAGAAAGGTGCATGCTCATTAAATGCTATCAAAAGTAGGTCTCATGTGATTTAAAGGAGTTCATTACTTGACTGACCTAAAATATTACCAGCTGCAATTTTGTAGCTCTCTGCTTTGTCTACCTCCTACTGTAGACTACAAGTAAATCCTGGGGAAATCAATGGCAGTTCTTTGCCTCCTGAATGCAGGAAGAGGGCCAGGATCCTGATTCATTCAAAGAAAAAAAAAAGATTGCAAGGAATAAAGGGTCAGAATCTTAGATCCTTTGATTCTGATGGAGTTATACCAGTCTACACCAGTTGAGGGGGAAAAGGCTTTTTCAGTTGGGGTGCTAACTTCACCAGTCTACACCAGTTGAGAATCCACACCATGGGGGGAAAAGGCTTTTTCAGTTGGGGTGCTAACTTGAGTTTTGAAAGAGGTTATGTTTCTTGCTTTGCCACAGACAGATTTTTCTGTATGTTCTTGGGCAAGTCATGTAGGGTCTTTTCTACACTGCTACCAGAAGTGACAGAAGCACATATGGGCAAACATAAGCCAGTTTTGATATAGCTAGCTCAAGTACCAATAAGAGTGATGTCATGGCAGCATGGACTCCAGGATAGGATAGCCACTCAAGTACATACTGTGGTTCCCAAATTGATTTCTACAACCCATACAGCAGTGGCTTCACGGATATTGTTATTTGTTTGTTAGATGAAGGTTGGTGTGACTGGGTCTCCCAGGCAGCAGGGTGATCTAATGGTTAGGTCCCAGAGTTAGCTGGTGGCAAAGGTGTGTAAGCCCCTGCTGCCAGGGCCCCAAACCTAGGATTTTTGGCATCTTATCTAAGTCTGGTACTAAGGTGTGTAAGCCCCTGCTGCCAGGGTCCCAAACCTAGGATTTTTGGCATCTTATCTAAGTCTGGTTCTTAAATTTGGGGGATGGCTCCAAGAGTCCAATTTCTCCTTCCTCAATGAGAGTTCCTTGTAGGTTCTCCCGCTAGATGGCCCCAAAAGTCCAATTTCTCCTTCCTCAATGAGAGTTCCTTGTAGGTTCTCCCGCTATGCAACAAGCGGAGGGGTTGGAAGCTTACATGCTCCTGTGGCTGACCCAGTAGATAGCTCTGG